GTCTCAAGAATCAGATAAGGATGTGCTAGGCAGGCATTATCTTCATACTTAGCATCATCTAGGACACTTCAATCATGCAACCTGGTTCAAAGTTCTTGGAAAAAATTATTTGTGTTTAAACAGCTATATCTTTTCAATGACAACTTTCAACTATTATGCCTTAAAAGAATGATGGACTATTATTGAAGTTCATTGAGTTGCACTGAACCTATTCGTGGCGATCATAATCTGCTATCAAATTTCGCAGGATTTGATAATGATACCGAGGTGAGGTAAACTACTAGTCTACCATAGATGAGACAAACTTCTGAAGTATGTGATGTGAAACCTACTCCTAGTATTATGGGATAAACCTCGACAAGACTTCGTATACCACATAAAAATACTTAAAAGTAACTTAGTTCTTGGTGCTAAAATCAATTGTAAGATTAAGCATGTTGATTGTGCACATTTTATTAATCCGATAAAACGAGGATTAGGGCAATTCCAGCTTATACCATCTGGACCGACAAATCATAACTGAGGTTTAACTCCACCTAAGTTGCTCCGATGAAGGTTGAGGTTTTGAATTAATTAAGTTAGGTTAACTAATCGGCGTGCATTGTCTGAAAACGGCTATCTGGAGCCTTTAAAATTAATTATGACAGGTAAAAGAAATAAGGATAGAGCTCATCTGCGACCAAATAGGCTAACTTCAAATCATACAAAAACAAAAGAAAGCTGATAAAACAAGCACTTGGTCGACACGAAATAAGAGCCGGACATTTTGTACTGCATACCAGTTTAAATTCGCTGTCAATGGCAATAAAATAAATGCATATATTGGAAGATCTGTCTGCCCAACTCGATAAATATATCGGCCAGATGGATGTAAGAATCAGGACGCAAAAATGCACCTCATTGTTCACTTAAGGTAAATCCTGTCTTATAAACAAATTATCTTAAGGAATTGCTTGATCGAAGCTTAATCACATAAATTTTTACTGAATTAGCAACGGATACAAGATATAATATGGGATGATAAGTTTGGGATAGGGCTTTTCAATCCAGGTCTATTAATAAAAGTAAGTTGTACTGGGATGAGCAGCGTGACAATACGCCTTGAGTAATGCACCTTTAAAGGAAGGATAATTAAATGGTATATACAGATAAAAAGCGGGTTTTGAAGAAGCTCCTGACATAAGATTATTGTGAAGACTTTAACTTCATATGTAAGTGAATAAAGAAGAAATTAGTAAGCCAATTTTACCAGAAGACGCCAGCTGATTCTCGTTGTACTGCAACTACTCAGTACAAATGTAACGTTCAAGTTGATGCAGTCCAATTACACATTGGAGGATCGCTAGTGGACTGTGTCAACCTAGAATTCGTACTAAAACAAGACGGCTGCAGTATAGCAGGGATCAGCCGGAACCTAGTGAAATAGACCTACAAATTTCTTCATAATAAAATTTTTTGTAAAAAAATATTTGAAAAATCTATAATAGGCACCAACCGGCGTGACAGCGCATCATCTCTAGTTTTTGTCGGCTCAGAGGTTGCGGCACTATCTTCGGCAATTGGAGCACCAGAGACGGCATCCTTTATCTCAAGGCCATGCTCGTCAGCGATCTAGAGAAAATAATAGGACAGTTAATTTGTCACAAAAAGCGTTATTTAGATAAGTATTCGGACCTGTTTGATAAGACTGGAGACCTGAGCCTCAGGTGCGGTTAAGGTGACTGCATTTCCCATGGAATTCTCCATCGTTGACGAATGTACGTCAAGGTTTTCAAATGTTGTTTCGAACTTGCTCATAATCCTTTCAACCTGTTCTAGATCCATGGATTGCATAGCAGATTCTAGTTCCTTCGTTACACCTTTAATGTTTTTCACCATTGAATTCATAGTCATGGCGGTCTGCACCCTTGCCTGAACTGCATTTACTCTCGATGCCATCCTAAGGTAACCATTTCCCTCGTTGTGTTTCCTAATCGAGTTTTCCGCGTATATTCGAGCTCCTTCATGATTGCCTTGAAGGAGGGCCTATATTTACTGAGAGATTTCATGTACTTTTTTGATTTTTTCTTTTTGTATAGCCGATTCTCTTTCAGCTTTTAAGGCATATTTTTCCAATTGTTTTTCTGTGAACTTTGACAAATAAAAATACGAAAAGTACCTTAAGCTGAAACACGGTGTTATGAAGGCTGCTACTACCCCCAAACATTTTGATAAAGGCATAAAACAAGCGCAAAGCGACTCAGTAAAACAAAAATGTACTAGTTGATAATTTAAAAAAGCATTAATTTAAAAATAAATAGTCGCAAAAAATAGTGTTTAAACAAATTTTAGTAAAGACTTAATATAGATAATTGA